TTCCTGCAGCCAAGTCGTTAATATAAAGCACATCAACCCGCACAGAGCCCCGAGCAGACCATGCCCTGCAGAGCCCCACAGGAGACCTCCGACCAGCCTGGTATCCGGCCATTTAGACCCACCCGACTAACAGCTACCCAGACACCTGCATGCCGACCTCACAGCTACTATCAGCCCATGCATCTTCAGCTGGCTCATGAGAACTGTGTGTGATGTATCAAAAACCTTACTAGAAGTCCAAATATACTGTGCCCAATGCTTTCCCCTCACCCACTAAACCAGCGACACCATCAGCAAAGGAAACCAAGCTGGTTTGGCACGATCTGGTCTCAACAAACGTATGCTGGCTGCTAGCGACCCCCCTTTTCCTCCTCCAGGGGTTGACGAACAGGTTGTTTCAGATACTGTGCTGCGGTAACTTCCCAGTGTCAAAGTCAGGCCGACGAGTCTGGAATTCCCTGGTCCCCGCTTCTTCTGACCAGCCCTTCTCCTCCGCCCTGGGACCTCGCCTGCCAGCCAAAACCTTGCAAAATGATTGCCTGTGGCTCCAAGACTTCTTCAGCCAGTGCCTTCAGCACCCTGCGGTGAACTGTCCCGCTTTGCCCACTCAGCTTTGCTCGGGGCTGTAGCGCTCGGCCAGCCCTGCCCACTCGGGGCTGTAGCACTTGGCAGGCCCTGCCCACTCGGCTTCGCTCGGGACTGCCAAAAGCTCTAGTCCAACACGCGCTGTCCCACCCTGCCAGCCCCGAGGCGGGGGGCTGGCTGAGCACCTCTGCCCCATTCAGGCCTCTGCTCACTGCTCAGCCTCTCCACTGGCAGCACAGCCTTTGCTGCCCTGGCCTCTCCTCCCCATCTAACATAGCTGTAGGGCCTCTTCCTACGGTCTTCAACATCCCCCGCCAGCTGGATCTTCCCCTTTCCTCGTTCTGTCCCGGCACCGTCTTGCTGCTCCCTGGCCTGGCCCCCCACCTTGGTGACCTGCCTCCCTTCCTCTGCCTGCTGGTCTCTCCTGGCTCCGAGGCAGCCAAGCAGCCCCGGTGCAGCTGCGCTCCCCTGCCAAGGTCCTTTTCTTTCCACCATGCTGCAGCAGCTCACTGCTGGCCACCTGGTAGCACGCCCTTTATTCTTTTTCTGGCCAGATGAAGGCCGACACGCTTCGTGCTAAGGACGATGGCTGGGGTTCCTGCCGCACGGACACCCTCTCCAGATGCCCACCTGTGTCTCAGGTGAGGTCTCAGTCTGAGCACGGTTTTGCAGCATAGCCTTTCCCTGCCCTTCAGCTCCTCACAAACAGCCCTGGTGGGACACGGAGAAAGACCTGCCCCGAGCTACAAACGTGGACACAGGTGCACTGTCTCAAGGAAAGTCAGGAGAGGGCTCCAAATCGGGAAATACTGGAGTCACCTGGCTGCTGGCTCGGGACCGGGCACCCGACTAACGGGACCCTGAAGCTGGTGGCTCGTGCCCCAGGGGCACTGGGTGAAGGGGTCCTGGCAAGAGGAAACTGGGGTGAGTGTGGGCTGAGAGCACTGCAGGATGAGGGGGGAGCTGTGCTGCAATCCTGAGCTCCAGGAGAGGGCTGCTCCACTCTCCTCCCACTGGCAGCCCCATCTGAGGCAGAGAGGATGCCCCTGTAGGCAGGCACCAGACATGTGGGGCCTCATACCTGGCCTTGGTTTGTAAACAGCTGATAGTCAGGGGGAGAGGAAGTGTTGCAGAACCCCACCTCCCTCCTCCCCAGCCGCAGCCCCTGGGAATCAGCCAGCGATGGGTGAATCCACCCAGGGCCCTGCACCATCAGCAAGGCTCAGGAAGAGCACACACAAGGGCAGGAGACAGAGCACGAGGAAGAGAGCCCTGAGCCTGCACGGATGAAGTGCTGCCTACCAACACTGCTGCTGGCCTTCTCGCAGGGGCTTGAGGAGGGCTGCAGGACAGCTGTGCGCAGCAGCCCAAGTTGGGCAGGGACCAGCAGGGGCAGCAGGAAGAGCAAAGCAACGGGACAGCCAGGATCAATAACCAAGAAAAATGCCTGGCAGAGAGCTGGGATCAGGCGAGGCTTGGCCCCTTGAGGGCAGTGGATAGCTCATCACTGTGGAAAGGGACAGGCATCACCTCCACACCAGCCATTTACATTACAACTAGGCCAGGCAGAGCCCAAGAAAATGCAGCAGGGGCCAGCCTGCCCTGCGGCTACAAGCTGCCATGGTTTGGGGAGACGAGCCCTGAAGCCCCGTGGGGCTGCGGGATCCCCTGGGCAGAGCTGTTCGCAGGCTGAGCAGAGGACAGGCCCAGCTGTGGTCTGGGCTCTGTGCTGGCCATAGGGGCATGCGGCCCACAAGGGAGCACAGAGAAATCCTTCCCCTGCCCATGAGGGACGGGGCTGTGTGGAAGCGGGTGGGAGCTGCACTGTTCAGAGCCGGCTTCCCCCGCAAAGCAGCAGCAAGGGGCCTCTGAGACAAGGGCAGCCCCCGAGCACACCCTGCACCCAGAGCACTGGCAGACCTGTGGCTCCTCCGGACGCAGATCACCCCCTGCTGCAAGAGGCTGGCTGGGAAACGAGGGCAGTGCCAGGTGTAGGGGGCCAAGGCGGCAGTGCCACAGTCTGTCTGGAACAACCTCAGCTCCACTTTCTCACACGAGTCTAGGCCTCGCAGCTGCAAACTGCCCGGGGCCCAAGTACTCCACTGCTCCCAGGCTGGCTGTGGGCATAGGCCTGGGATGCAGGGCTCTCCCGAGCTGCTCCTTCAGGACCAAGGACCGTGGTGCCAGGCAGCTGGCATGAGGCGCTCTGAGCCAGAGGCCCCACGTGAGAGGCAGGGAGAGCCCATGGCCTGCTGCACACTGCGCCAGGGGAAGCGGGAGGATGCGACTGCCCTCCGAAGCTCCAGGACATCTCAGGCACACAGGGAGAGCGGACAATCCCTCAAAGCCGGAGGACGCTTCACCTGCCCCTGCCTGGGGAAAAAGGATTTCCAAAGCTCTGCAGGGAGATGAGATTCTCTGTCCCTCTCTCAGAAACTCCTGCGCCAGTGCCAAGCAGGCGAGGCCTCAAAGTCACACACACACACGCACACACACACACACACACACACAGAGGAGAGCAGACGCAAGCTCAAGGGGACGCTGCTAGGCCAGCAGTGCTGCGCACTCAGTCCCCAGGGCCTCAGTACGTACCCCAGCTGGAGTGTCCTGCAGAGCCAGCTGGACTAGGACAGAGTCAAGTAGACCTGCAGCTGCCAGCACCACTGCTGTGCTGGCTGATGGGACAGAAGAGCCAGGCACGGCCCAGCTGCCCCGAGACGGGCACAAGGACCAGTCCGAGAACGTGGCGACAAGCACGAGGAGCCAACAGCGGTCAGAGCACTAGTCCAGGCAGCAGGAAACGAGCCTGCCACGGGCACGGGCCGAGATCTCAAGCAGCAGCAAGAGGATCTCCCTGGCACTGCCTGCAGTAAAGAGCTGCCCAGAAGAACCCGCCACCCTGGGCCTGGGCTTTCCTCACGGCAGCCGCTGAGACCACTCATCACTGCTTACCAGACACCTGGGCTAGCAGGCACCTGCCCCAGTCCGGAGCCCCGAGCCCTCTCCTGCAGACTGGAACCTGGGGCCTGTGCTCAGGACCTCTGCCACAAACCCCGGAGCCCCTGCTGCCAGCACTGATGGTGATGTGCTGGCTTCTCTCCCGCTCCTTCTCCTTTGGTGCAAGTCCAGCAGCATCCAACCTCTCAGTCCCACCACCCAAACCTGCACTCCCCACACCTCAGCCCAGATCTGCAGCAGCCGCTCTCACCTCATTAGGGAAGGGAAGGGAAGGGAAAGGAAGGGAAGGGGGAGAAAGGGAGGAAACAATCATTGTGCGTGTGCGATTGGCCAGGCCCAGCAGCCACTCGTCCCAGGCAGAGCAGCACCCCACCTGGGAAGGGAGCCAAGCAGGAGGGGGCCTGGCAGAGAGAACAGGGATAGAGTGGTACAGACCTCTTCCTCCTCAATGCGAGCAGGCTCAATCAGCAGATTATTGGCTTGATCAAACGACACCCCCTGTTAGGACAGGAACCAGCAAAGAGGCATGCGGATTAGTGGAGCGTCAACCAAACCCACCACCACGACCACCACCGCCCCAGAGACACCACCGCTCAGAGACAGCCCGGCCACTGGCCCCAGGACAGGCCGGCCACGCAGCCTGCCCCCGCCTGGCCCACGGCACCGCTCGGCGGAGAGCAGGAGGCTGCATCCTGGGGCCACGCCTGGCTGGCGCAGCTCGCTGAGGGTGAGAGCCAAGCAGGCCCCAATCATTGAAGTGCAAAGGGTTAAGTGACACAGGAGGAGGAGGAAAGAGGGGGGGCCCCGAGCACCGCCAGGCTGCTGCAGGCCGAGGACCGAGGCTGCCCCATGCCGCTGCCACCCAGAGAGGCCCCGGTGCACCCCGCCTCCAGCGGCCCGTGCACCGCGCCTCCAGCACCAAACACCTCGGTCAGGGGCTCCCCAGAGCTCCACCCACCACGCAAAGTGCTGAGACGGAGCTCGCTGCCACGTGCACCCTTGCTCCGCACGATGCGCCTCCCTCAACCTAGGCCCCCTGGACGCACAAGAGGAGGGCTGAGGCCAGCTGCCTGCCCCAGCTGCCAAAGGGGGCTCGGGGCCCTGGATGGAGGCTCTCCCATGGCTGGCAGGTAGACTTGGCCGCAGTGAGACAAGCCGTGGCATCAATGATCCTTCTGCAGCTCTGCCGGGGGAACAGACCTTGGCTCACAACGCCAGGCCGAGGGCACTTTCATGGCCCACCCCATTCCCAGGCAATAGCTGGTCCCCGAGGAAGGGCTGCAGGCCAGCCGCACGCAGTCCTAAGAGGCAGTGCCTGGAGGGTGGGCGTGAGCACACGCAGCTGGGGCAAAGGCACACCCACTCCAGTGAAGGCTCCTCAAAGCTGCTGGGTGAAGGGTTCCCCACGTACCTGGGCCAGGCCTCGCCAACACGTGCTTTGTCCTGGCACCTGGCGCCAGTTCTGAGGCAGACCCAGGGGCTGCGATCTGCAGGGCCTGTGCCACGGTGCAAACAGCCCCACCAGCCCCAGTCTGACTGCCACGTAGGGCCGTGGCTCTGCTGCTATGTTCCAGCCCAGCTCCTGGTGCCTTGCAGAGCACCCCCTGCTACCCTCCTTGCCCTCCCCAGCAGGTCCCTGGCCAGGCCCACGGGCAACTTCTGCCAGGCAAACACCCCATCTGCACCATCCATGCTCGGTGGTCTGGTGCTGAGAGGAGCAGATGCCTCCCCACCAGCTCCTGGGGCAGCCACATGCCCAGGCTGGTCCCCAAGGCGCAGGCAGGACCAGGCAAGCTGACTGCTGAGAGCACGGGACAGTTCTCCTGGCACAGCTGGGCTCAGGCACCTGCCAGGCCTGGGGGCAGGGATGCTAGCACAGCTCCTCAGGACCCAAAGGATGGCGTGCTCCTCTGCAGCCTTTGCCCACTGTGCAGCGTGGGCTCTAGCCCAGCAGCCAGGATCTGTCCAGGGGAGAGCTCTCCCTGCTGCAGAAGATGCCCACAGATGGGCACAGCCAGATCTGCCTCAGGCTGGAACAGAAACAACCCCTGCAGCACGGAACGCAGCACCGCGCAGCAACGGGCACGACAGTCAGGAGGGAGCTGGGACACCAGCAGTCTGGCCAGCCTCAAAACTGGCACAACCCACTCCAGCTCTTCTGCCTGCATCACAACTCTCCTGGAAAGCTGGAGGCCCCCAGCATCCTCATCAGAACCACAAACCTGGCCACTCACGGCACAAACATCAAGGGTTCCTGCACCCACCACCCCAGAGACAGCATCAGGGCAAGCCTCGCTGGTTCAATGCCCTCTCGAGGCCCTACCTTCACCGAGGGCTGCGTAGACGCGGCTCCGTTCTTGACATCGCCCTCGTCCCAGGCTTCCTCTGTCTCCTCGGGCTCTGCACCGTCACTGCAGCCACCCGGCTCCTCCTCCTCCTCCTCTTTGGGGACCCCGTCGCTGTTCAGCCCCTGCAGCAGAGCCACTACGGCTTCAGGCTTGGGGAGCTTGGTGATCTTGAAGTGCTTCTTGTAGTGTGGTGTGTCCTTGCGAATCAGCCGCTGCTTCTCCACTGGGAACGGCCGATCGTCATCCTCATCATCGCTCCGCATCAGCGTGTCCTCAGCAAAGTGCACTGTGGGCTAGAGGGAGGTTCGGGAGGTTCAACAAGGACAAGTGCAAAGTCCTGCACTTAGGACAGAACAATCCCCTGCACCAGTACCGGCTAGGGACTGACGGGCTGGGCAGCAGCTCTGCAGAAAAGGACCTGGGGGGACAGGAGACAAGAAGCTGAACAGGAGCCAGCAGTGCGCCCTTGGTGCCAAGAAGGCTACCGGCATCCTGGGCTGCATTGGTAGAAGCGTTGCCAGCAGATCGAGGGCAGTGATTCTGCCCCTCTATTTGGCACTGGGGAGGCCACATCTGGAGTCTTGTGTCCTGTTTTGGGCCCCACTACAGAAAGGATGTGGACACGTTGGAGAGAGTCCGGCAGAGGGCAACGAAAATGGTTGTGGGCCTGGGGGACAGGACTGGTGAGGAGAGGCTGAGGGAACTGGGCTGATTTAGTGTGGAGAAGAGAAGATGGAGGTGGGATTGAATAGCAGCCTTCACCTCCCTGCAGGGGGGCTGCAAAGAGGATGGAGCTGGGCTGGTCTCAGTGGGGGCAGATGGCAGGACAAGGAGCAATGGGCTCAAGCTGCAGCAAGGGAAATGTGGTTAGATGTTAAGAACTCCCTCATGAGGAGGGTAGTAAAGCACTGGAACAGGCTCACCAGAGGTGGTGAAGTCTCCGTCCTTACAGGTTTTGAAGGCCTGGCTAGACAAAGCCTTGGCTGGGATGATCTAGTTGGGGCTGGTCCTGCTTGGATTTCATAGGCAACAGGGCTGGAAGGGACCTCGGAAGATCATCGAGTCCAGCCCCCGCCCAAAGGGCAGGAAGTCAGCCAGGGTCATAGGATCCCAGCAAGATAAGCATCCAGTTTCACCTTGAAGGTGTTCAATGAAGGCGCTTGAACCACCTCCGGTGGCAGGCTGTTCCAGACCTTGGGGGCTCGGACAGTAAAGAAGTTCTTCCTTATGTCCAGCCTGAAACGATCTTGAAGTAGTTTGTGACTATTCGACCTCGTCATCCCTTGGGGCGCTCTGGTGAACAAACGTTCCCCCAGATGCTGGTGGTCACCCCTGATAAACTTATAGGTGGCCCCCAGATCACCCCTGAGCCTGCGCTTTTCCAGGCTAAAGAGCCCCAGGGCTCTCAGCCTGTCATCGTAGGGTCTGCTTCCCTGACCTCTGATCATGCGCGTGGGTCTTCTCTGGAGCGGGGGGCTGGACTAGATAAGACCTCCTGAGGTCCCTTCCAACTCTCCTGGTCTACGATGAGTGTCCAGGTGCTGGCTGAGTCTTGTGAGGGGAAGGCCTGCCTTGCCTGGCCCCAACCCCTGGACTCATGACCCCACCTCCACGCACACGTCTCATCCTCCACCTGGCCCTGGGCTGCTGCCGGCTCCTTTGCTCACCCGGCTCCATCCACCTCCCAGCGCCACCTGGGCTTCCTGCATCTCCCTGCTGCTCTAGGCATGAGCAGGAGCTCCCAGGATGCTGCGGTGAAGGGGTGGGGGCTCTGTGACACCAGCACAGCTCCTACCTCATTGTACTCCATTTCCAGGTCATCCTCCTGGTCGGCCTCCTCCTCCACCTCCTGCTCCGCCTCAGCCTTGGGAGCGGCCATCTGGTTTAGCTCTCGCATTTCTGGACCCTGCCTGCTGTGCAAACCATCTCCTTTGCCCCCCTCTTTCTCTTCCTCCCCCTTGAAGTCGGCAGAGGCAGTGCTGTTGGAGACGTGCGAGTCCTCGCTGTGGTTGGACGTGGCGCTCAGCCTCTTCTCCTGCAGCAGCAAGGTGGGGTTTTGAGAAACAGGCAGGGTACGGGGCCCCCAACCCGGCCCCTGCCCCTGCCCCTCCCAGGTGTCCCCACAGGCATACAGGGCAGGCAGGACTCTCTCTGGGACTCAGCTGCGGGGCTTGGCACTGCGTGACATGCCCTACAGGGGGGCAGGGAGCATGTTGGGGACCTAGGAGCTACAGCAGTCACCCTCCACAGGCGACGAGCTGCATTGCCTGGGCAAGCTTTCTGCTAGGGGAAACAGGCACGGCTGGGCAGCGATTCAAAAGGTACCACCAGTGAATGGAGAGCTGAGCCAGGGGAGCATCCCCATTCCCTGAAGCCACGGTCCTGTCCCCCTGCCCAGCACAGGAGATGCTGCTCTGTCCAGCCCAGCCCACACGCCTCAGCCAGCTCCTCTGCCCTCCCCAGGTGGTGCCAGCCGTGACACCCCACTCCCTTGTCCTACTGCAGCCACTACCGCAATATCCCAGCACACAGGGCTCCCATGCCCTCCAAACAGCTTGTTTCTCTGGCCTCACCCAGGACCCTGCTTCCCCTGCCCAGGATAGCACAACCTGCCTACTGTGGTCAGGGAAAAC